CGCGGCGCCTCCCCTGCCGGTGCGGTTGGGCAGACACCCCCGCGGGGCTGCCGCGCGGTCGGTGTCTGTCGCGGGGAGCAGGGGACGGCTCCAGACAGCCGCCTGCCGGGGACGTTGCTGTGCGGACGGGTTGGATCCGCTCCCAGCCCTCGCCTGTGTCTTTGCCTTGCGCTGCGGATGGGCCCTCTCGGGTCCCTGGCCGGGGAAGCGAAAGCCTCTTAGGGGCTTTTCCCTGCTAGCTTAGGATCCGGGAGTGTCTGGTTTTCCCTGCCCCCTCCCCTCTGCATTCGCTCCCCCACCGTCCCCCCAGCACCCCCGAGTCTGGTGCCCCCCTGCATTGCCTTACGGTATCAGCACTTCCTCCAGGTGCCTGGCCACGTCCTGGATCCTCTCCTCCACGAGCCGGAGGCCGTGAGCCAGGGTGAGCGTCTCCAGCGGCACGTGGCAGCTGGGGACAGAGAGAGCAGAGCGCTGAGGGCAGGCCCGGCCGCAGACCCGCACTTATCCAGGGGCGGCTCTGAAAGTCTCCTGCCCCTTCCGCAGGGAGGTAGAGTCGAGCCTGGCTGGTGCTGGCGAGGGGGTGGCTGGACTGGGAGGTGAGCCCGGGCTAGTGCCGACAAGGTGAGCACGTACCCTGCTGGCAGCATGGCTCCTGTCCCTGCGACAGCAGAGTGTTAGCATCGAGGATAACGGCCTACTACCGCTACCAAGTAATGGAGCCACCTCTGCTTTCTGCTGCAGGGGTGAGGGTCCCGGTTTGAAATGCTGCTGGGAAGGGGCGTTACGCAAAGCTGCCCTGTCCCCTCACCCTGAACAGTCTGCGGCCTCGCCCTGCCCACGGTGCCAGAAAGGCCTCTCTGCCGCACGCCCCTGTGTGCACGGGGCTGCTCACACGAGGCATCCCCCCCCCTTGGCAAGGGAACATGGGCCAGTCCAGTCCACACAATCTACCCCCCTCTCATTGGCGGCATGGTGCGAGAGGATGGGAATGAACCACTGTGCGGTGCCTGGGGGGGGTTGGGAAGGAGAATAATGGCTCCTCTGGCCCATCGGTCAGGGCGGAGAGGGGCTGGGTGGGGGGAAATGCAGGAGGCCAGTCCAGAGGAGGGGCCTGGCCCAGGCAGGGTTTTGGGGGGGCCTTGCTCACCATGTCCCTGGGGATTGACAGGCCCCCTCCAGCTGCTCCTCACTGCATCCAGAAGCTGCCAGAAGTGAGACATAGAGAGACACTGGGCGGCCTGGAGACCTGGCTCTCCCGAGCCCCGTGGTCCGGGGCGGCCTGTGACCAGAGCCCTGGCACCACTCCAGGCACGGAGGGACCAGACCCGCTCTGTGCGGCATG